GAAGAGGAGCCCGTCCATGTTGAGCCGTAGCGCTTGGAACACGATGGGGAAGACGAGCATGAGGTGGAGCACGTAGCTGACCCTGACGGCGTCGTTGAAGAGTGGGCTGTAGGGGATGCCGAGGTTGGAGTCGAAGTTGGCGAGGACATCGTCCAGCGTCGAATCGCCAAAGAGGAGGAAGCCGAACAAGCTGGTGGTGAGGTACACGGCCGAGCACAGCAACAACGACGTGCGCACTATAGGCCTGATCTGCTCAGAATCCTTGAGTTCCTTGCAAATTGGGAGAACTGCAAAGTTGTTAGTCAATACTTAGTAAGCTGTCCTTAGATATACACTAATACAGAGACGAGCTTTACTCCCGGTGGGGAACTCCCTCTAGTCCCGGTTCCCCACCCGGGAGCAAGCATCCGGGACTAAAGGGGTTCTTTAGTCCCGGGTTCTTTAGTCCCGGATAACACCAACCCGGACTAAAGATCCTCCCAGCTTTAAAAAAAATAATGCCTCCCACCGCTGCGTCCTATGAGATTCGAACCCAAGACCTCATGTATTGCCTCACGCGTAGTTTACCACCCCACCTACACAACACATCTAACAATGGATGGGATGCTTCCCTTTTGAACTAACCCATCAGGGGGCCTTTAGTCCCGGTTGGTGTTACCAACCGGGACTAACTAAAGGTTGGAGGACTTTTAGTCCCGGTTGGTGGCTCCAACCGGGAGTAAAGATCCACCTTTAGTCCCGTTTTGTGTCTCCAACCGGGACTAAAGGTCCCCTGCCACTGTGCCGAGCGCAGTAGCCGTTGGGCAGGGACCTTTAGTCCCGGTTGGAGACACCAACCGGGACTAAAAGTCTCTCTAGTCCCGAGCGCAAAAAATGCCGGGACTAGAGCCTATTTTGGCCTCAGATGAAAGGTCTGTTGTCTACTAGTGATATATGTACCAACAAACAAACCAAATCTGAACAATAATGCATACTCGAGTTAATTAAGCAGCACATATTTATTACAGCAGATGTTGATCATATATACCATTGTAGTGGCAAATGTAAGCGGTGACAAGAACTGGAGCCGCTGTGAAGAGCCTCCAGACGGATGGCCAGTCATGGACGTCGGGGAACAGCCGAGGCATCAGAATCTGCCCTCTCGCCAGCTTGAACATAGCGATCCCGGCAGTGATCACGACGAACACAACGGCCAGAGCGACCGATAGAGCAGACGTGTATCTCAGTGAGTCTGAAATGGATCACGAAGGAAGGAAGGAAGGAAAAGAAACAAGCTATATGGTCAGACCTAGTGACTGACAAAGACAAACAACAAAAATGTTCAGACGTGACAGTTGCTTACCGACATGCTTCACACATGCCAGCGGAGTGAACACACCGAGAGTTGCGATGGTGAGGATCGCGAAGCGTCCGTTCCACCGGTTTGCGCCGAACCATCCTTCAAACACACCGTGATGGTGCACACCGCTGGAGGAGGTTCCAGAGAGCACGTCACCTTGCATTGTGCAGACAAGATCAGAGTTGTCGTCCTTAATAGATTCATAAAAAGAATTCTTGATGAAAGCAGTAATCACAATTCACAAACATCGACGACGACGCCGCCATACCAATGATGATCATGTAGACGACCAAGATGCCGAGGTTGTTGACGATGACGCACAACTGGAGCAACCCCCTGCCGAGCACCCCGAAGGCATCGCCCATGGTCTTGGCGTAGGTCCTGACGCCCGCGGCGCGGTTGAACCTGACGAGGAGCTCGATGGAGGCGTCCGTGAGCAGCGCGGAGAGCACGATCAGGACGAGGCCCGGGACGAGGCCGAGCATCTTCATGGTGGCCGGGAGCGCCATGATGCCCGCGCCGACGATGGTGGTGGAGAGGTTGAACACCGCGCCGGAGAAGGACGCGCCGTGGAAGTCGTCGCCGGCATCATCCGCCCCGCCGCCGCGCTGATGCTTCTCGGGGAGCAGGGGCTCCGCGCTGCCCTCGCCGCCCGCCGCGGCGTGGTGGTGGTCACCGCCGCTCGAAATCGGCATCACCATCCTCGCCAAGGCGCCGCTGAAGCCCGGCTCGTTGCTGGGACGGTGAGGCCTCCGCGGACGGAATTCCAGCTTCCAGTTGCCGCCGGTCCCTCGTTGCACAGAAATGCGAGTGTCTTCACGCATGTATGGATTGGAGAGCTCCTCCGTTATGACTTTTGATGGAGCGCATGCAGCGAGGAAGAATTGGGGATAGTGGAGTGTGGACAAGCTTTTGATCGGAGGAGACGAGGCGTCTTATAATTAGAGTGCCTCCCCATTTAGCAATATCGAAAGCATGGCCATGCATCCCAGCTGGAGCCTGCCACCCGAGCACCAGCATGGCGCCCATGGCGACGTGGCAGGATTGCCATTGCCTTCATCCCGCGCGCGCGCGCGTTGATGCCTTCGGCCGCCGCAGACTAGCAGTGGGCTGATGGGCTGCTGCAAGTAGTGCCTCTACCAGGCTGAGCCTCTAATGGGCTACAAGTGGCCGTGTTTTGTAGCGCCCTCTAAGTTTGAATGAAACTCAGGATTTTGCATCTTGGGCCCATACAAAATCAGAAATCTACACGGTAAAGTCACCCTGTTTTTTTTTTACTTCACGGTAAAGTAGTTAGAGGAAATTATTTTCTTGACCCTAAAAAAGTGCTGCCTAGCTCCTTGGCTCTTTTTTTCTTGAACTTACTTATTTAGTCCTAAAATGAATTTTCTTTGGTTTTTTTGCCCTTCCGTTAGTTTGACGGGCTAACGGTGTTAAGCTATACGCGAAATGACTCTTTTACCCCTCGCACCGAAGGCTACAGTTCACAGGTCTTTCTGGCTACCTCTACCAATAATTTCCCAAAATAAAGTACATTATTTTTTCAAGCATGGAATCATTATTTTTTATTTTTTAATAATTATTTTTTCAAGCCAAGGGCAAAAGAGTCATTTCACGTATAACTTACCACCGTTAGCCCCATCAAACTAACGGAAAGGGCCAAAAAAGCCAAAGAAAATTTGTTTTAAGGCCAAATAAGCAGGTTCGAGAAAAAAGGGCCAAGAAACTAAGCACCATTTTTTTAGCCAAGCAAATAATTTCCTCAAGTCGTTATGGCCAGAACAGAGTCCTTTTACTTGACTGAAAGTGCTAATGTGAAAGATACAACATCAAACCAAATATGCACAACAAAAGAGTGGAAGCGATTGTGGATGATCAAAGCTCCACCGAAAATTAACTTTTTTTATGAAGGCTTGCACACAATTGCTTACCAACAGACCAACAATTGAAAATAGGACGTGTCCCAGCCCCCTAACACTTATTTTTATTGCGGGAGAGGAAAAAACTCAAGAACATGGTTGCCTTGCTTGCCAATGTGTTGCTAAAATTTGGAGAGAACCGAAGAAAGAATGGCTTAACAAAGGCGCTAGAAAGAACTACTCCTCTCCCAAGAAATGGCTATTTGATTATTTGGCAAAGTCCTCACTCAGAAAAGAAGCCACGATCGTAACGATCACTTATGGCATATTTGGGAGGCTAGAAATAATGTTAGAAATGGTGATTTCTAGGTGCATCTTCACTTTACTGCAAAGAAAATACAAGTATACACTGAGATAGTCCTACTGCATCTTTACAAAAACTATTGCTTCCAAAAGGTGTGACCCCACTAGATCTAAACAATGAGCTCCACTGCTAGAAGGATGTTGCATCTTCACAAACGTATGGCTTCCAAAAGTTGTGACCCTGCTAAATCTAAACAATAGGGTCCACCGCTGGAAGGATGGGTGAAGGTGAATGTTGATGCTGCTTTATTTGCATAATCAGAGTATGAGAAAATGAGAATTGGTTTGCGGAGACCATAAATGGTGACTCCCTGGCTACTTCGGGATGCAATAGGACCATTGATCTAGAACTTGTAGAGGCAATTGCTCTCAGTCATGGTGTCTGTTTTGTCTCAAATATCCCATATAATAATGTGACAATTGCCTCTGATTATCTCTCAGTGATCTAATCAAATAGAAAAGATCGCTCTTTGGTGGCTTCCATCATCCATGACATCAAGCAAGAGACAAGAATTTCATCTACTGGTTCTAACTTTATTCATGTCAGTAGAAGCTATAATATGGTAGCTTATTTTAGCTAGATCAGCTGGTCTTGCAATTCAATCTTGTTTGACCCTAGACTTCGTCCGGGCTTCTTTAGGCTACCCATTATTACTTTAATGTTTTGGACTCACCGTACTCAAATTTGCATCCGCACGATCCATATCCATCCAAATGGAGAGCGTTGACAACTTCCCTCCAGTCTCCCGCATTTAACGCATTGCTCAATCTGGTCCGTTCAGGTCGGATCTTACGGTTCACGGGTGCCAACGGATGGATCGCGGAATCCGTCCCCATTCGCCTGGGCAGAGAAGGAGCAGCATGAACTCGCCGCCGCCGCCGGCGATGTCCGGGTGCGCCTCCCTCGCCAGACGCCGGTACCCCTCCTTGAATTTACTTTCCAGTCTCCACTCGCCCTAGAACACTCTCAGCGCCTCTCGGTGCGACCTCTCCGTCGCCGCCGCTGTCGCAGGACCCGCACACGGTGACGGGTCACAGCAGCGGCGACCGTCGAAGGACATCGTCACTGCTCCACGTATTTTTGGTGCCTGGTAGAGTGGTAGTTGTCTCACATAGCAGCACGTCACTGGCTCAATTTCTTTTGGTTGAGCGAAACTTTGACCCAAGGTTTAGTCCATGACTTGAATTTGGACCGGATTAGATCATTAGATGTGTACAAACGGTCAGTGCTCCGCTGATCTGCCAAACTTGAAGCATCAGCCTTTTTGTCATACCATACTCGTCCTAGTCATAGGGTTGTTCAACAATCAACATACAAGATGTCTTGGTTCCCTTGTCTTACTCTATTTTATGATTTTGATGCTCATAGTCTTGCTTGTGCTATCCAATCATAACCACTCTTTGGGAATATTATAAAACCTGGACAGTCACTAGCCATCATGATTTGGTGCAAACCATTTCCTCAAAATAATATTCAGAAATACCTTCCCCTATTGTCCCTTTGTTTGACAAACCTATGCAATGAAGTAGCTTGTGCGGTTGAGCCTGTGTTGAGCTACAAGGTCTCAGGCCAAGGTAAAATTTAAGAAATGCTCTAGACATTAAAGGTTGCTGAACCATACAATCCTTCTGCTAAAATTGGAGTAGATTAACACACTTAAAAACTAGCAAATTTATGGTGAGCTATCTATTCTTAGCTACTTATGGTTACTGTTTCTGAAGCATGCATGCATTTCAGTACCCAGCAGGTGTTCAAAGTAGTTTGCTCCCTCTAGGAACTTCGATCATGACCTAAGAAGTGACATCATGCCTCTTCCCCATCCTCTTTTTATCTATTGAACCATAAAGCTTTCGGCAACTTCCTTGATATCAGCATCATTGTGTTTTTTGGGGCAGCTTACCAATCTGCCCATAGCCTAACTTTTTTCCTGCAACTGATTTGTATTTTTCTTATTTTATAGTCTGAAGTTCCTAAAGGCTTATTAAGCTAAGTTTTCTGGAAGGATGCCAGTCTGTCATCAAGACTGCGACTTACATGTCATGCTTCTCCTGCTGATGTGGATAGCAGTCTGATGGAACAGAAAGTCAACACATCAGGTCTATTTGGTGATAATTAGTTGCAAGTTGGAAGGGTTTTACGAATACCCAAATAGAAGAGACTATATATTGAACTTATCTTGCTTGGTCTGGCGCTTATTTGCATTCATCTATCAGAGAATGTGCTTATGCACGCAGGGAACCAAGGCCAGGTTATTTGCTGGAGCAATACTCCTCCTATAACTCTTCTGACGTGGTACCTCTGTAGAGTTCAGATCTTTGAGGTCTTCGCTAGAACCATACAGGTACCTTTTTTGTTTTATAATTATCTTTATTGCTTTATTTAGAGGGTTAGGCTTTGTAGAAGAACACTGCAGCAAGTTCTTCTGAGGAATATAAGGTGGTAAACTTTGTTCAAGAAGAAAGACTTCTATTTTTGCTTCAGCTTAATGGTTGTTTGATTTTCATGGTTCCTAGTTTAATAATTTTGGTACAAATAAGCACAAAGTATGATAATGCTGTTATCTGCATAGGTTTGCACAGCTATTTTAAAGCTTATCTTCTACTCCATATCCTTATGATTATTTTTTTCATCTCTCTTATGATGATTTGATTTCACTGGCAATGCTTGTTTGAAAAACATTTACATTTCTCTCTTTCAAGTTTTGCTGCTTCGGTGTGGATGCAGTCATGTTGTCAGTAGCTACCACCAATGTCAGCCAAGGGAACTCCATGGAATCAGTCATGGCAACAATGGAGCGACAAACAGCTCAAGGACCCAGACTAATGTGACGCAGATGATAGAATCTCTTTCTGCCAGTGTCAATCTTGCTAAAGATCTTTCTGCTAGGTGCAAAGGCAGAACATACACGGCTGATGAGATACAAAGCATAGCACAAGACCTGGAGAATGTCTTGCAGAATATATATGATGATCTTTGCAGGATACCAGCCTCAGCATTTGGCAGTAATTCTTACATGGATGTTCTTATTAAATCACAGTCAATGATGGATTACTGCGAGGCTGATATACCCATAAATGTAACGGGCAACAAGCCTAGGAGAAGGTCTCTCCAAGATAATGATACTCCGAGGCTGGTGGACTTTCTGCAGGGAATGTACCATGAATCACATGAATTTGGTGGCCAGATGTTCAACACTCTCCCAGAGGTTGCAGAATACATTGAGCCACTGTATGATGCGTTCATCTGCCCACTGACAAATGAGATAATGACTGATCCTGTGACAATTGATAGTGGTGTGACATGTGACAGGAGGGCCATAGAGGAGTATATTGAGAGGTTTTCAGACAGTTCTGAACCTGTCTATTGCCCTGTCACAAAAATGACAATGCAAAGTAAGGCAATGGTGAGCAATGCTTCCTGAAGAGTGTAATTGAAGAATGGACAACGAGGAATGAGGCCATGCGTGTCAGGATTGCTCAGACTGCCCTTTCTCTGTCAACTGCAGACACAATGGTGCTTGAAGCTATACATGAGCTGAAGTTGCTGGCCAAGTTGAGGGTGAAGAACAAGGAGCTGATGCACAAGATCGGGATCACCAAGTTCTTAGCACGGTTGTTGGATAACCACAATGGACAGATTCAGTTTGACGCTCTCAAGCTTCTGTGCTTGTTAGCTGAAGATGAAGAAGGAAAGGTGAGTAGGAAATTTTCTTGCCTACAGGAGTTCATCTTCAATTTAGAACAGTTTATACTGATTGCTCAGCATCTTAGCCTTGTTCTTCAATTATGATATAAGTTTTCTGCATGACATACAGGATATCATTGGAAAAACTAAGGCCATTGCCAGGACAATAAAACTACTGTCAAGTAATAATTCTACTGATGAAAGGCATGCAGCCATCTCTTTCTTGCTGGAGCTTTCAAAGTCACAGTTACTGTTGGAGAATATTGGATCAACACCTGGAAGCATTCTGATCCTCACTACAATGAAGATCAACAGTTCAGATGATCCGATTTCTGCTGAGAAAGCTGGAGCAGTCCTTAAGAACCTGGAGAAGTGTCCAAAGAACATCAAGTACATGGCTGAAAGTGGCTACTTAGAACCTCTTCAGAGTCATCTAGTGGAAGGTGAGATGCAGAGTATTAGGAAAGCATATTTTGCAAGTATGGTAGTAGTTATCTTTACAAGTTTGGTTTTGTTTAATCCACCAAGTTTCTGACATTGTATAACCAAATGGCAATTCTGTAAACTTAAACTACTAGAATACAGCTGCACATGTCGAGTCTTGTATTAGCACTTCATCAGTAAAACATCTGAAAGCTTGCTTTGCATACTAGAACTAAGAGATTTCACTAAGGGCGTCATATTCCTGTAGTAAATTGGTGTTTTAAACTGACTTGAAGATTACAAAACAGGCTCGGAAGAGATGCAGATGGAGATGGTCGGCTACCTCTGTGAGCTAGTCCAAGAGCAGGAGCTCACCATTGACATCAACAGAAGCACCTCGGAAATCCTCATCAAGATGGCGCACGGATGCAATTCCATGGTCCGCAAGGCAGCATTCAATGTCCTTGCCCAGCTTTCTTTGCACCGCCCCAACAGCAAGATGCTTGTCGACGCAGGCGCTGTCCCTGTCATGATCGAGGAACTGTTCATCAGAAAAATGGATGATGAGCCGGTGAACTCCATGGCCACCGCTGCCACTGTCCTGGCCAACATTGTTGAGTCA